CATCATATTGAAGGAGAACAGAGCCTCACTTCAGACAGCGAGAAAGCAGCAGTCTGCTGTGAAGTGTGTTTCTGACCTGTTTGAGCAGCAGCTGCGTCTCGGCTCAGAGATCCGCTCAGAACCTGGACCAGTGTCCGGAGCACATGCGATCCGTACGGATCCTTCAGGAACTCCAGCAGACTCTCTCTGACGACTCCACACACACGCTTCACCTGAGCCTCCAGCATCCCACAATGCTCCTCGTCCTCCGGTGTGACGTCAGAGTCCTCCTCTTCACAAAACACACCTGATCATGAGAAACACTCTCCGACAGAACGACTGACTCACTTCAGAGCTTCTCGCAACGCATACAGCTCCAGCACAGCTTCAAAAAGAACAAGCTTACAAAGGAAAGCTAGCGTGTCTCCGACATAGTGATAACACTCGCTGCCTTCTCTAGTGCAGCTCAATCAGGTCTCGTCCCATTCGTCTGTATTTGTGATATCACAAATCCCGGAAAATATGCGTTGTAGTCCAAACGAGTCGTTCGTTGTAGTTTTTGAAAAGTGATTTCTGTTAAATAAAATATCTCCTTTTGAAGTGGACTTTGAGCTTTGTAACTTTGCAGATTTTTTTTATGCTCAGCAACATTACAGACTAACTAAAGTTGAAAAAGTATAATAGCACCCCATTAATAATAAATATTCAATAAAATGATTATAATAATAATTATTCTTAATAATGATCAGATACTCTCACCGTTCCAGCGGTGGGCCTGTCTGAGCGCGCTCTCCATCACATGACCCCCGCACTGGTCACATGACACGCCTCTGAACTCTGACCCCGTCTCTCCTCCCAGCTCCGCCAGCACACCAGCCACCTGAGCGGGACTGGCCAATGAGAGCAGCCGCTCCAGAGCCACACTTCCAGTCATATCAGTGGAGACGAGCGCCGCTTGACCCTTGACCTCCGACAGCACGTTCTCCACAAACAGAGCTGAAGAGACACACAACACTCAGACACAGCTCGAGACCGCTGGAGCCATTCTCTACTCTCATCACAGGAGCAAAAACATGCTTTACACACACACACACACAGACACACACACA